TATTATTATTATTATTATTATTATTATTATTATTATTATTATTATTATTATTATTATTATTATTATTATTATTATTATTATTATTATTATTATTGATACAGGCCAATGTTCTGGACAATCCACAAAAGGAAATCATCAGAGGGGTTCACAGCCATACCATACTTGGTAGCACTTTTCAGTGCATCATTGCTGCTGTATTATGGGTCTCTCAAGACCGATGCACTTCTTATTGTCACCATCAATGCATTTGGAGTTGCCATTGAGCTCTTTTACATCATGCTTTTCTTATTTTATGCTACCAAAAAGGATAGGGTACGGTAATATATACTCCGTATAATAATAATAACAATGCATGAATAAAATTAAATAAAGTACGGAGTACTATATTTTTCCATTTTCAAAAAAAAAAAACTAAATTACGACTAAATATTTGTATTCACATTTTTGGCAGTGGTTCACTATAGGGATTCTAGTAGTCCTGAATGTGGTAACATTTGGGGCGTTCGTAAGTCTAACTTGGCTTTTCACGGAAGGCGAGAAAAGGGTTAGCATTGTGGGATGGGCTTGTGCATCTGTCAACGTTGCCGTCTTCGCCGCTCCTTTGGCCGTCATGGTACCCTCCTTAATATATCAACATAGTATATATACTTACTCCGTCGTATAAAGTTATTTTCATTTTGAATTTTTAAAAAAATTAATGAAGAATATTTTTGTGTTGACTTTCCAAACCCATTCTTGATGTGATGAGTAAAAGTAGAATGTGATTGGTAGATTATTAATAAAAAAAAATATGATGTGATAGGTCAGTTAAGAATTAATAAAAGTAAAAGTGGTTTTGAATAAAAAAAGGAAAAGATTTTGTGCGACAAGAAATAAAAAAAGAAAGATTTTTTGCGATAAAGAGAGTATTTAATAATGAGTTATTTAGGTGATTTGTTTCACTTTTTTTCTTCAACGCTAAAAATATAATTGAAAAGTTAATAAATTACGGAAAAGATTATGCCAAAACTTAAAACAGGAACTATTTTAGCAAAAAGAGGAAGTATTATAATTAAAACAAAAACATGGAACGTGATAGAATATATTTTTTTCAAATGAAAAAAAAAAGGAAACCTCGATATTAAATTTACTTATTTACCCCTAAAATGCATGCATGCAGAGACAAGTGATAAGAACAAGGAGTGTACAGTTCATGCCGCTGGGTCTATCGGTATTCCTCACACTCTGCGCCACCACTTGGTTTTTCTATGGGCTCTGCGTAGCCGATTATTACATTGCGGTAAGTATATATATGTACCACAGAGATTTTACTACCAATTCACACGTACTTACTGTGCCCAGTAAAACATTCCTCAAATATTACCAATGTACGACGAGTGATGCGTGCTTATAATTAATAACATGCATGTGCATGCATGCAGTTACCGAACGTGGGGGGTTTCTTGTTGGGAGTGGCACAGTTGGTTTTGTATTGGATTTACAAAGACTCCAAAAACGATGGAGAAGACGACATTGAAGCAAAAGGCGGTTACATCGGAGACGCCCATACTGCAGGGATGGAAATGATAGGCCGGTCTCCTCGTGGCGGCGGCGGCGGTGGCAACGCCCACAACAATTGATTCATGCATATGTTCCAATGTCTTTTTTTTTAATGTGCAACAACAACAATCGAGCAAGATATGTATCCCATCAAAATATTCACAATACCCTAATTAGCTTGCGCGTACATATGCTTTAATTAATTAGTCAAATCTTTGTTCTCTAGCTATCTCTTTTTTTTTTCTTTTCAAATGCATCCATCAATGGATTTTAACTCAGCGATTATCACGGGCGGAGCCAGATATTTGGTGGAGTGGGGTCAATATAAAGTGTAAATAGAAAAATTACACAAAAGAGTTACGTTAATAAAAGGATTATTTCCTAAGGGGGATTCAAACTCTCACTAGTCGTGGATATACTAATACATGTGCACTTTCTTATCCCAATTCATTGGGTGCAACTGCATACTAATAATCTACATATCACATTTTACTTTTAACTATCACATCAAAAGTATTTTTAAAAAATCAACAGAAAAAGATCTCTCTATTAAATTTTTAAAAAGTTTATAAAGGGAAATGTTGGAGGGACCGAGGAAGGAGCATACATGAAGTGATATACGGAATATTGGAAATCAATCATCATTTTCATAGTCTTGGGCCATAATTCAATTAAGTTAGCTTTTATTGCGGGGCTTCTTCCCACGATCGGCGAGATTGACTCTTCTCTCGATCCAAGCTCTAGAAGCCCTTTGGCAGGCCCAAGCACCACACTGAATCCTCTTCGGCCTGTTACCCATAAGTGTCAAGCAACTAGGTCAAAAGAGCAATCTGGGCCTAACTCGTTGTTCCCCTTGGCCCGATATTCATCAACATCCAGCTCTCCATAAATATATGTTCATTCCATCCAATACTTTGTATGGCATGTTTGTGAATATTGAAATTTATACTAAAGAGCACTAAAACATATGTCATTTTCCAATATAGTACTTAAACTTTTTTTATTTGATAAGTAGTACTTGAATAATGTCTAGTATCGAAAATAATGTCCAGTGATAGTGGACATTCAATGTCTAATGACGATGGACATTTATTTGAACAATGAGCAATGAACAATGACCAATGGTACTACACTGGAAAAAAAACATATGGTACGTCCTACATTGGAAAAATAACTATGTTTTAGAGCACGGGCAATGGCAAGTAACGAAATGGAATGCCACACGTTGACGTGACACATTTCAACCAATAAAAGACAATCCACTCAACGTATGACTAGTGAGTGGAGAGGCATCTCGTACAGTGGCAAGACATTGTTTTTGTCAAATTTTATGATTTTTTAATGCATTTTAATTATTAAAATTTATTTCATTTATCTTTTTTTTATAAAGATGTACTCTTTTTTTAAAAAAATTATTTCTTCTAAAAAGTAAAAAAATAAAAAAATAAAAAAATTGAAGATGCCTCGCGCCTCACACGCTTGGCGTGGAGGGAGGCTGAAGCCATGCGAGGCAAAAGTGCCGAAGATGCTGATGTGGCGCAGCGAGCGAGGAAATGCCTCGCCGCTGCGCATGCTCTTAGTACTATCTAGGAAAATTCCCCTTGGAAATAACATTAGAGATTAGCGTTAGCGTTTTGAAAATGCTATATACGGGTAGCGTTTAGCGTTAGTGTTTTTAAAGTAATCCAAAACGGTAATTCTAATCGCTTACGCTATTTCCAAACCGGCCCATACTCCCTCCGTTCTTGGAAACACTTCCCCCCTAATTTTATTTTCACTCTAAATATCTAAAAATACATCTTATTATGTAGTTTATTGCGGGTAGATGTTGTTTTGGATATATTTTCGACATTTTAGATAGAGCAAAAGTGTTTTATGAGATGTTAGGACGAAAGTGTTTTCAATAAAAGAGGAAGTATATATATTGTTATATCGATCATTTTACTAATTTAAATTATTCTTCAATTCTCTCTTTAGATAGACCAATCAAAAGAGATCTTTTAAAGGTGCTCTATACTTTGAAAAAAGTAAAATTTGCACTGAATAGAAATAAAACATAAGTCATTTTCTAATGTAGGACTTAAACTTTTTTATTTCCTAAATAAAAGTATTATTCTTAACAATGACATTAATGGCTGTGCTCGTGTGTATGTTATTTTTGTCTTCATTTTAATTGGTGACTTTGATGTTTTAATAACACGATGTACGTATCGTCTTGAGCTTAAAGTAAGATTGAATTTTGAAGTGTAACGACTAAAAATTTGATTCTAGAAACTAAAAAATAGAACATGATCGATTGTTATATATTTTAGTGTAATTGAAAAAATTATTTAACCAATGATATCATAATAACCATCAAAGAACTTTGGTAGTGCGGAGTGCACGCTTCATTGACATTGTCATGATAAAAGTCTGGTCTTAACGGGAGTTCTAAAGGGGCAGCGCCCCCCTTAGTGGGGGTTTTGGTACATCGCCCCTGAGCTGGGTTCAAGGGGCGGCAGCCCCGACGGATCCAAGGGGCAGAGCCGCCCAAAGAGACAAGCATCACCCAAAGAGAAACTTCGATAAAAAGAGATAAGCACTGTTTTCTCAAGAATCGTGCAAAGAGGCGCGTGTTTTGGACGAGAGACACGATCGCAACCTTCTTTCTTTCTGCGGTCTTATAAATTTCGCTGATCCTTAGTCGCCAAAACAGAGTTCAAAAATTCCATATCAATCCGTACTTATTCTTGATAAATTTGAGTTTTATCTGATTGATTTTTGGATCGAATAACCAAATAATGAATTTGAAAGTGCTACACGATTCTCAAATTCATCCGAGTTATCTTCGTTTATTTCTCAACAAAGATTGATTATTTTCATTGAAGATGACGAACGGGGAATCCATGAAAATCAACAGACACTTATTATCTGTATTTGTCTGGTGTACGAATGAGTATTCTATTTTAGTTTACCCATAGGATGGCCCTTCATTTTAATCTAACCCATTGGCAAATTTGGAAGACACATAATATTTCAATTGGGCACTCAACCGATGAACTTTACTGCCTGAGCCCTTTCTGCACCCATCTCTTCAACACGTCCACTTTTTTCATTATTGTGTAGTTTCACGCGCAATTTGTTTTCACCTAAATTGCAATCTGGGTCCTAGACTATTTTTTCAAAATTTTTGATGATTTTAATCCACTTAAAACAAAAAAAATCTCTTAAAAAAGTTCTATTGTATCCTAAAGGGTTTAATTGTGGATTTAGATTAGTCAATCGAAGTGTGTGTGTTTTTGTGGATTTAGATTAGTCAATCGAAGATTTCAACCATAAACATAATTGTTGAAAGAGTCAATTTACATGATAAAAATCACATTCAATTAGTCAGAAATTAAGTTTTTCCAAAGTAATAGATCAGGTAAATTCTTAGTATAGCAACTCAACTCCAAAAAAGGCAAAGTCGTCCGTGAATGAAGAGAATAGTGCGTAATTTAATCAGCCAACATACTAGAAATCTCAACATCCATAATGATCTAGCTACAAATTAAATTAAATGCTACAAATATGTAATCATCAACTAATCAATTAAGGGACGGGGGCAATCACGAAGATGATGATCAATTCAATTCAATTCGTACCTATCATTAACAACACAACGAAAGCAAATAATTAATTAAGAATAATAATAATAATGTGGCCGGCCGGCAAATCAAATTCCGGCAATACCAGGTAGTGTTTGGTGGCTGCTGCGGCGATCCTCCTCCTCCTCGTCGTCGTCGTCACGGTGGTGGTGTTGATGAGGATTGTTATTGTTATTATTAATGTGGATGGGGTTGTTGTTCTTCTTGGCGGCGGAATTCTTGTTGTTGTGCATCCAAACCTTAAAAACTTGTCGCTTCACCCCAACCTCGGCACAGAATGTCTGCAGCTGGGAGTCGTCTTCTCTCGGGATTCTCCACCCCAGCTTCTCCGCGAACTCCATCATCTTCTCTTTCTGCCCCTGCGAAAACTTCGTCCGGAACCGCTTCTTCCCCCCAGCCGCCGCCCCGTACGCCGCCGCCCCCGCCGACGACTGGTATGCGTTGAAGTTCATCTCCTCGCTCGACGAGTCCGTGGCCGCCCCGCTCCCGTACCCCGCCGTCCGGGCCGCCGGCGGCGCGGTCAGGGAGGGGGGAGGCGGCGCCGGCCACGGCCCGCTCCGGTGGTAGCTGTGGTGGTTGATGGACGACGGAGATGTCATGGACGGCGGCGCGAGCGGCGGCGCCGGGAGCTGGAGGGGGTGCACCGTCATGACGCCGGCTTCCCCTCCGCCGCGCTCCTTGCGGTGGAAGTTGCGGTGGCAGTTGCAGGCGGCGCACTTCAGGGCCTCCAGAGTGCCGTCGTCCCCGCTGGGCATGAACTCTCCGCAGCCGTCGGTGACGTTCCCGCCGACGCTGGCGGCGTGGTTCTTCAGGCATTCCCGGTACCTGCAGCCTCCTCCTCCTCCAGCGGAGGTCATCGTCAGCTTAGGCCTGAAACCTCCGCCGGCGGGGTGAAGATCTTGCGCCGGCGGAGACTGATCCAAATCCTCTAGTGGGTTATTGTAGCCGGCCAGCGACCCTGACATTCTTATCTTCTCCTTATCTTCCCCCCTGATCTCCAACCAGTACATATTTAGTCGTTTTTTATTACCAATTATTATTATTTATAGTTATTATTATTACGGAGTATTTCAATATTTATTTAACTATTTATTTATGAAAAAGATTAATATGCTCTGCACTATTATATTTCAGTATTTAATTACAAAATTACAAATAGGTTACTGTTGGACCCAATATATACAGCTAACATGCTTACAAGTACAAAACCCTAACTAATTATTATATCCATTACATTAAAATCCCCCTTCAAATCAATGATAATTAAGTAAAGTACTATATCTACCCCGTCCTTGTAAACAAACCAATGATCATCTTCTTCACTCATGAAAACGCTTAATTAGATCTGACATTAACTGATCCATCTGATCGTTAATGGAGTTTTTATTTTTTTTTATTAAGAAAAAGAAATAGTGATTCAATTCAATTCTGATGAGTAAAAAAAGCAAAGGGGTCTGACGAACGTATGCACTTTAATTGCTTTCATAAATCTGCAAAGTTTTCTTGAAATCGAGAAAAAGAAGATCTGTAAATAAAACAGTAGCAGGACAGTAGTAGCTAGATGAGTTAATAGAAGGAAGGAAGAAGATGAATTCAATTCCAATAAAGAAAGAGACGAAGCCTAGCTAGGAATGGGCCCGAAATTAAATAATAAATTTAAAAAAAAAAAAGAAAAAAAAAAGAGAGAATACCTTCTTATAGCTGATTGATTGGCTTTGCTTTGCTTTGCTTACAGTAATAAGCTTTAATTTGGTATATGTGTTATTAGAAGAAGAAATGAAGCTTTATTGGCATGATGATGATGATGATGGAGAAGAACAAGGCAGAAGAGATGAGAGAGATGGATAGGTAGAAGCCAAAGGAGGCTGGCTGCAGGGAGGAGAGCAGTAGCAGCAGCTGCTGGCTCCTTAATTTAATTCTTAACTACTCTTATCTCTTTCTCATCCTTCTCTCCATCCACCCCATATATGCTAACCTCAGCTAGGGTTTACATAAATTGCATATATTAATGATCATGTTTTTGTTGAACTAAAAATTTTTATTCCCCTCTTTTTTACTTTTCTCTCAAAAAGTCACATGATGAGAACTTAATTATTTTGTGGGGAAATGAAAGAATTGTAATCTTATTTTTTTTCCTTTCGTCCCAAAATATAAAGTTCACATTTTATATTTTAACATTGATAATTTTAATTAAAAGGTAATACTCTCTCCGTCCCGTGAAACATGGAAGTTTTGCTTTTCAGGAGGGATTTTAGGGGAGTGTATTTTGGTATTGAATTTCCAAAAATGTCCTTTAATGTGATGGGTAAAAGTATGATTTGATGTATAGATTATTAGTAAAAAGGTATGATGTGATAGTTAGGGTATGAAAAAGTAAGGGGTAAAAGTGACTTTTTAATAGAAATGAAAAGTGTTTTGTGGGACAGATAAAAAAAGAAAGGAGAAAGGTTTTATGGGACGGATGAAGTATCTGTTTATACATTCTAATTTTTTTAAGCCCGTAGAGCTATTGCTCTCACCAAGATCGAATATATGATCTTTCATTTGAGAGAATCACTTGAGAGAATCATAGTGATTTCATTGGACTACAAATACGTATTTAGCTTTTTGTTGAAAAATACCCGTCTTTAATTATTTTGGGAAAATTTTTTTATGGAGCCCACCAAATTTACGTCCGAAATAGTCTCATTATAAGCTAAAAATTCCAACAAGCTTTACATTCCATGTACGAAAACATTTGTATGTTTCATTTTATCTTATTCAACGTATTTCAATCATATATTTTTATATTTTTAAGTTGTGTTAAAAATTGATAATTTATAAAGATTAAGATAAGTATGGAAAAGATGTATGTAGTGTAAGCTTTAGCTTGGCTTGGCCCGAAGAAAGCTGCTGCCAAGCTAAGAGTTGTCGTACGTCTTAGAATCGAATCTAATCTATCCATATAATCCTAATTCCTAAAAGGGAACTGAAACAGTAAAATAAATTTACTAATTATTTCATAGGCAATTAATTAACGAATGTATGTTTAATTGTCTTTACTTATTTAAGTACTCAGCCCTAGTATCCATAAAATAAGTAATGTTTTGATTATGTTATCTGAAAAATAGTTACACGTAACAAATAATTTGACTGAGAATAGAGGAACATATTCCTTTCCTCTCATATCTTTTTCCCGCCCCTAAGGTGATGCATTTGCAATTAATATCCATATTTGTGCATAAAAATACATTACAGAATATAAAAATATGATATTCAAAACAACGTTTCGACATAGCTATGTGTGGGAACTTTTTTTTTTTAAAAAAATATTTACATATGTTTGTTTTTGAGAAAAAGAAGAGAATAAAAAAGAGAAAAAAGTATATAATGGGAGAGGTAGTGGTGTTGGAGTGGATCAAACAGGAGACAAGTTGGTTGCCTGAGAAGCATAATCCTTATTTCATGTTTCTGAAATGCGAGGCTGGCTGGCTAAGCAAAGCTCACCTCCTCGCTCCCTGCTGATGGCCCCGGCCGGCTCCCGTTTTGGAACCATATGCTGATCACCCCTTTCCTTCATTCACACCCATTATTTATATAGTGACCCCTCACCTACTTCTTATTATTACTTCATTAATGTATATTTATTATATATTTGAAGTGTTTCATTTTTTTCATCTCAAAGTTAACTTCACATTTTAATTAATTTCTTTTTACGCATATCAGAGGCCGCACGAAATATATTCAAAAAAAAAAATATTCATCTATTGTAAAACGGGAGAATAAACTAATAACTTGATTTGATTCCTGACAACTATATATATATATGCCAAGAGATAAACAAACATGCATGTTCATAACGTGACATTTCCATTAAACAAGTGCATGCATGCCATTTTCACCTTTTATCACTCAAAGATGTATTTTCTCCATCAATTTTATAATTCAAGTTTTTTAACAAGAATTTTCGAATTTTATATTGCAATATGATACTCCGTATAAAAATGATTAGAGGTCAAATTTGAAGAAGAAAAAGACAGTAAAACTAAAAATCTTCAATTTGGGATAGAGAGGGTATCGAATCTCAACATACCTCTTCTGCCTAAATTCTTGATTGTGTGATCCACTTCAAGGGATGGGTGTGCTTCATATCTTTTTTTTTTGGTCCATGATAATGGGAATATTATATTAGGGAGTGTTCCCTCCCTCACAACAAAAGATTTTATCTTTGATTTAACACAAATACAAATATTAAAAAATAAAATTATATAATTAAAAGTAATACAAAGAGAATAAATTAGAAAATTATAGAGAAATTTACCTAAATATGACTAGAACATAATGACTTTTCCAATATAGGACCATATGTTTTTATTTCCCAATGTAGGACCTTTGGTCATTATTAAGTAGTCATTATTCAACTAAATGTTCATCATTACTGGACATTATTCCTTCCACTAGATCATTATTAAGTCCTATTTAGAAAATAAAAAAGTTTAAGTCCTACAATAAGAAAGTCATTATGTTTTAGTCCTATTTAGTGCAAATTTCACAAAATTATTTCCTTTATCCTAAACGATATTGCTGTACATTTTAGGGGTGGGCATGAAATCCGTTCCCGTTGAACCGTTCGGAAAAATCCCGGTTCCGTTTTGTAATTGTACCGATATATTGGGACACATTTTTTTTATTCCGAACCCGTTTCCCAATATCAAATGGGACATGAGCGGGGCAACTAAAATTTATACCGATCCGTCCCGTTTGTCCCGTTTCATCTACTCTACTAATATATAATACTAATTCTAGTCCAAACTTCAACAAATACACTCATTCTTTAATTAATTAGTTATTTAATTAAGTTAACTTCATAGGCTTGAAATTTATTTGGACCCGTTCCACTCATTGTTTTTTGTTGGGTGGCTACATATTTCTTTTTTTGAATAAAATGTCATTCTCTCCCACTTCTTATATTTGCGATTTAGGACAAAATAGGACGATCCGAATCCGTCCCGTTTTATTCCGATCTCGAATTTTATGGGACAAACCGGGATAAGGTTGTAATCCGAACCGTTCCGGACCGTTTATATATAACGGGACAAGACGTGGGACAACCTAAAACCGGACCGTCCCGATCCGTGCCCACCCCTAGTACATTTTATATTACTCCCTTTTTTCTTATTTAAATGATTGTTTGGTTTTACGTGTCAAACGTTTTGATTTTTTTTTTTTGAATGCCAAACGTTTTGATTGACTATATAAAAGATTGAGGTTGTCCGGCGGGCTTCTTCTCCACGCACCTTAATTAATAATTAAAAGACACTATTCATCGTAAAGCATGTTTATTTAGCAAGTACGAGTAGGAGTAACTGATTAACTAACTAGATTTGGGCAAGTGTTAGGTGGGGGGCAATTAATTAATTAATTACTAATACTGCTGGAGTGAAATTAATAATTGAGAAAAAAAGAAAAATAAAAAAGAAGAAGAAGAAATGGAAAAGAAAGAGAGAGAGAGAGAGAACCGACAAGGTCATGTTCAGTCCTCTCCCCACGCCCTGCAAAACACTTACAACGACCCGGCCCATCATCGCGAAGCATGGGCCCATTCCCCTCCTGCATGCATTTCTCCATCTTCATTATTGCTTTCTTTCTTTCTTTCTCTCCACTGCCATGAAATTTAATTAATTACAGTGACTATATAGTACTACTTTCTACTGCTTGCTTTTTCTTCTTTATTTTCTTTGTGTAATTTCATATCAATTCATTTGAGGAGTGCCAATGCCAATATAATGTCAGTTCACACCTCCGTTTTCACGCAAACACACTCTGACTCTGCCTGCCTGGCCTGGCTCGCCCTTGATCGATTTGACTCCTCCCATGGGCCCCTTTCTCACCACGCCCCCACTCCTTTTTCTTATATATTCCTTTTCACTACCAACAAAAAAAAAAAAAAAAAAGATGAGCCCTAGCTATTTCGAGGCCCTTTGGACCTAGTCAGATTAAAATCAAAATGAGGCTTTAGTTGTGATTTTTTCAGTTAAAATTGATAAACTTTAACCATCAATTAAATAAAATTAGTTTTAAATATATATTAATATAAAAATAATGTTAGATTTATTTTACACAATATTTTTAAAATATTATTTTATCTTGGTAATATACCAGATAATTCCTATTTAATTTGAAGCCAAAGTCAAAATTGTTTTTACTGTAAAAAGTTACGGAGTAAAATTTGATAAATACTCAAGAAATGTGGTATATTAACATAAGAGTGGGAATGTGGGATAGAGGGAATAGATTCTAATGAAGTGGAGAGCACTATTAATTTCAAGTTTCAACACCTTCAATCCATTCCACCCTAACAGCCAGCCCTTGTCTATCTAGGGTACTCGTTTGCTTCGTGCTTGACAATGTTCCAAATATTTAGGCCACGTTCTTTTCATCTCACTTGAATGATTTTAATATAATTGAAATAAATTCTGATCTGATTTGAATATAATTATATTTAGATTTATTTATGAACTGATCTGATTCAAATAAAAAAGAAATAAATAATAAGAATAAGTTGAAGAGAACGTAACATTACTTTCAGATTAGTTATCGATCAGCTCCTTAATTGCAAATTTGGTCACGTACGTAATTAACAACTATCCGTAAATGTTCTTTTCGTTTCTTTTTTAGTAAAACTCTTAAACTTAAAAGACAATTCTACTCTTCACCTTTTTACTCTCACCCTATTAAAGTAGGAGCGTCTTTTAAAAGTCAATGGCTACGTTTGGCAAATGGCAGATCAGCCATTTTCAGCAGTTTGACCACCTTGAACTGCTTTGAATTATCAAACAGCCACTATTTATGTGTTTGGAATATGGCTTTTGATGTTGGCATCTTCATTCAAAATGCTAAAATATGAAACGCCATATGGAGCAGCGTTTCAATTCGGCATCTAAGTATAATTTTCCTTTTTGCCCTTTTATCTTTATTTGGAAATTTGGATTTCACCCTATCCCATTCTCCCACTGCATCTCTACAAGTGCTATCCCTATATTTTTAAGTTTATTTATCCTTTCTTGTTTAATCTTGAAACTTTTCAGATTCTTCCATTTTAGATGTAATATAAATCTTATGGGTGCAATTTTTGGTTTAATTTGATTTTTTTAGATGTCTTTTTTTAAAAATATTAAAATCAATTTTTGAACTTATCGTATATGATGATGAATTTGCAAATTTTGTCTAATGTTGAAGTCAGAGTTACGCAGATTAGCAAACCAATAAATATGTGGGTATAATCTATTAGCATGTCCTTAAATGTAATTTCCTTTACAAACAGCCATGTTTGAACTGCCAAATTTGCCAAACATTTTTTTCTCAACAGCTAATACGATCAGCCAGTCAAAACAGCTAACTCAATCAGCTATTCCAACGAGCCAATACTAACAGTCAATTGCCAACTGCCAACTGCCATTTTCCAAACATGGCCAATATGTTTTATAACACTCCTAAATAAGAGTGTCAATTCAACACAAGAAGAACATTGTCGTGCGAATGGATAGAAAACAACATAGTACTCCCTACTACACTTAGATGTTCTTGGAAACATGTTTGACTGGTAATTTTAATTCGATAATGGGAAAAGGTTTATTGACTTTAGAAAATGACATGAGAGTGACTCCAACATTTTTTGGCACATACAAAGCTCCATTGGTACTTGGTAGGCAATATACTGCAAGCAGTGGGAAGGGGTAGGGGGATACTGTGGGGAGTTTAGAATGAAGGTGGGAACTACTAATTTTACTATGAGAATATTGTAGGTGTCCAGATTATTTTTTCTAAAGTCAAAAGAGCCTGATGTTATATAATACTCTCTCCGTCCCTAAAAGATTGTCACCGTTTAATTTTTTTAGTCAAAAAATATATTAAGTTATAATTTAAAGTTAGTAAAATTGAATTCATTCTAAAATATAGTTTTGAAATATCAAATTTTTATAATATTTAATTATTTCAAATTATATTTAATTCGTGGTCAAAGTGTAGCACAATGTAACCAAAAAAGTCAAACTGTGTAATAGGACATTTCAAAAAGAAACGTGGCGTATTAATTTAAGTGTGGGGGTACAGAGAATATATTCTCATGAAGTACTCTTTATTTCAAGTTTCAATACCTTCGATTCACTCCACTCTAACAATGTTCCCAATATCTATCAGCTCCTAAATTGCATATTTGGTCACGTAAGTTACTCACACGGTGAAAATAGTCATATTTTTTGAAATTTTGACAGTTCTTGTCATCTACGAGTACTATTTAAAATTGTCTCAACTTTTTTCCTCTAAACTTTCCATTTTCTCTAATGGAGATTATTTAGCTTTGGTGAAAGATAAAATAAAACAAAATGGTTCTCAAACTATATGTGCTTCTTTTGATAGTAGTCCTTTTGATAGTGGAGCAACAACTAATCAATGTAACTTTCGACGCTGATCATGGGTTAGCTGGAAAAGGCCGCTCAATGTTTTAACAAGGATTTTTTTGTTAGTCGGATTAATATCGAGTATAATGAAAGAAAAATAAGCATGGTATCCACAAAAAATTTAGGCAGGCAAATTTCAACTCCAAAGCTTGCTTTTTTTTTATTATTATAATAAAGTTCAGAACTTTTACACAATGAAATCAGGAATAGGAAAAGTGTTAAAAAACTAAGAATCAAATTATCAATCCCCACAATTATCATTCCAATAATTCATCACAAAACTCAACAAATTATGAAATGTGTATGGGTTGATTAAAGTTATATGTGACTTACAGTGTATGAAGAACCAACCATTTCGATCATAGCTAGGCAACAATGGTTTTTGTTTACTTTGTCTCCCACCATTGATCAGGAGGAAGGTTGCTAACTCGCGGAACTAAACGGAGACAATTAATTTGAAACTACTATCAACTGGAAAGATCTGAGGGTTAAATCTGTCCATTTATAATTCAGGGTACAAAGAGTGAAGGCAGATGAACAACTTTTTTGTAATGCCAAAAAATAAGGACAACTTTGTAGAGCCTTATATAATAAGCAAAGATATACAAAAACTAGAAGGTGTTAAGATCTTTTTCTTGTTTTGCTCTTGTCCAATCTACAAATTATGGATGGTCTTTCAATTTTACCCTCCATATCCATGAAGGGTAAAAGAATATATCTCTGAAAAAAGAATTGTGAAATTTGCACTAAATAGGACTAAAACATAATGACTTTCCTAATGTAAGACTTGAACTTTTTTATTCTCTAAATAGGACTTAATAATGACCTAATGGAAGGAATAATGTCCAGCAATGATGATGAACATTTAGTTGAATAATGACTACTTGATAATGACCAAAGGTCTTACATTGGGAAATAAAAACATATGATCCTATATGGGGAAAGTCATTATGTTTTACTCCTATTTAAGTAAATTTCTCAAAAGAATTTGCCTCTTACTATGCTAGAAGGCAGAACTACAATTGCATTAAGGTATCCAAAAGAAAGGTATGTTGAGAAGAAGCTCATCTTTTCGGAAATGAAAGTTTAGCTGCTAACCTTCCTCTTACTGTTCCCAAATTTGGCTGTCCTCGACTGGACGATCCATTTCGCGATTTTCGTGGCTTTCGGAATTTTCTAGTGGATCTGCGCCTCTCAAGGCGCTGCCTGCGAATCTCAGGATCCGCCCACCCTTTCCCCCACTCCGAGAAAGACAAAAAGGGTTTCTGTGCTCTTGTTAAGGACAGTAACATGTCTGCTTCTGGGTATGCAACAAAATTCTGCTGGGCTTCTGATTCCAGAAATTTCAGACCTTTTTCGGTTACTTGAGGATATTTGATTTGTACACTAATGGTGTCACTTCCTTCTTGAATATAACCCTGGTTCTCCAACATACAAGCCAGGCCACGCCACCATAGTTGCTCACTGTTTAGGAACTTCTGAGAGTGTTCCCTAATCTTCGCGACTACCGTCCTAAGATTTGGCCTTTCAGAAAACCTCTGCTGCATCAGATCAGTAGGGGCAAAATCGTCAGCATACAAATTTTCAGCAAAACTGTCCTGTTTGTGGTGAGAGGCAACAACTTGCATGAAAAGATTTGCTTCTGCTGTCAAATCTTGCAGCTCAGGAGGCCCATTTTTGCAAACATCACATGAGCTGCAGCTGCCTTGAGTGAACTCCTCCCCAAAGTATTCTACCAGCATTAGGGCTCGGCAGAGGGAAGTGTTCATGCCGTATCTAAAACAATCAGACAACATCTTGTAAGCCTGTTTCTTTTGCTCTTCGGATCTCTTGTTAGGCAAAAGAGTGGGGATTCTGGACAGATTAGCGTATAAAATGCAATCTGACATTTTCCCATCTCGCCCAGCCCTGCCTGCTTCTTGATAATATGCTTCCAAACTCTGTGGCCATCCATAATGAATGATCCTTCGCACGTTTAGTTTGTCAATTCCCATTCCAAAAGCAATGGTTGCAACAACAACATCCAAGGCATTCCCTTGAAACTCCGCGTGAACTCGTCTTAGGTGTGCTTTTGGCAACTAAAATGAAGCGAAAAAAAATTAGACATTTGGAGTTCGCATCATAAAAAGGACAATATTGTTTAACAAAAATAAATAAATAAATACTTGTAAATAAATGAATAAATAATGTCACTTTTGCAGGAACATGTTGTCTCTGTCTTAACTTACCGCTGCATGATAAGCTGCAGCCTTCACACCCTCTGCACAAAGAAACTTAGCTATATTTAGCGTATCTTTTCTTGTAGGCACATATATGATGGTTGGACCTTGTGCCAAAGGACCATGCACAAGTGGCACTGCTTCCACTGGCTTTGAAGGGCCAATCGGTATCTCAATCTCATTAAGCTTCTGATTACCAACCATTGATGTCCCAGAAAACTCGCCACATGAAACTAATACAACCATAAATGAGGGGCATCGGTTTTCAATGTGCAGGAGAAAACCTAACGACATTTGAGGTTAAAAAAGGAAAAAAGAATTTACGGCCCAGTATAGTTGAGCTTTTGTACCATCAAAGTCATCTGCTGTCTGAATGTCATCAAAATCATCTTCGAGATACTCAACTGACAGTTGTTTCTCTTTTGACACGGTGGGAGCAGTTCTGTTTAGTGAATTTAGCTCATAATCCTCTAAGTCAAAGCTATCATCCTCCGTAATATTCATACCACTGCTATCAGAACTGCTATTGGAGTCTTCTTTCCCAACAAAGTGATTCATTTTACCTATTGCTCTCTTACTAGAGTACACTTGCACTAGTTCTTTGAAATCCTTCGCATAGGAAGATTGAGATGTTCTACTATGTTTCACCTACAAATAGAAAACATGCATATAACACTCAAAACCTAAAGAGAGTAAAAACACACAAGAAACTAGACTCCAAGCATCTAAACTAGGAACACGTTTAGACAATGCAGACAAAAGTAATGTGATAGAGCAACATACTGAGAAACAAAGGTTTGGCCGAAAGAATGTTGTCAGAACAATTTTTGCTTCACTTGACATGCAAAGTGCCTTAAGAATATCTTCTCGGACACAAATAGTAGCAGTGGCGGTCAGTGCCATAATTGGTATATCAAATTTCAAGAAATCTAAACTGTTGGTGCTGAATGCCTCTCGCAGCACAGACAATCGCCTAAAACCAAAAATATATAGATTGCAGATGTTTAAATTCACTTGTATGACACTAAACTTCATATACTCAATTACTCATGTATCCATTTCTAATGGGACACTACTTGAGCGAACTGGGATCTACTACTAGAGGTTTTTCCTCTGCAACAGCTAACAAAACATAAAGCAAATAGATGTATTTATTTTAGGTATTTTTTTTAATAAAAAGGGCATTCAACATCCTATCAATTCCAAATGAAAAGAGAGAAGTTCTCAGCTTGAGCGTTGAGGATCTTGGAAATTGATAAGAATCCGTGTCCTGAAACAGTGCAAGCTCATTAACAAAAGCCTACTTACCAAAGGCACCTCTTGAGCAGAACCTACCAATCTATTCGGTAGTGATTTATCTTATTTGAATGTTTAGTGCTCTAGCTTCACATGACAACTAAATCTTGAGTCTGTTGTAATTTATCCAGATATCCTCTTTAAGGTAAAACTCTATTCTGTATGTCTCTCATTCGTCAAAATGCGCCCATACCTACCCACGGGATTATTTTTACCAATGTCAATTAGAAGATACTGAACTATAAATAGTCTAAAAACACTGTTCTTTAGTTGCTTGTAGTGTCCACTGGTCTCTTCCAGTTAGAAGTGAAGGAAGAGGGCGCCATAGAAGAATTATTTTGCTAATGTATAACACTTGTTAACAACCTATACAAGTCATAAAATCTTTCCTAATACTTAAATCTTTTTTAGAGACAACTGAAGGAAAAATTTTGGTGTTCAAGAATAAAGTTTGATTCGAAGTTCAACAGCTGCTTCTTACTGATATTAAAATTAAAGTATGTTATTTTGTTAAATGAAAACTGAAGTTTGAGGGGCAAAGCGAAGGGGGGGGGGGGCATCAATTCTAAAAATCCTTCAGATTTAGTAAAAAAGCTAACCTGTAATCTGGTCTGAAGTCATGGCCCCACTTAGAAACACAATGCACCTCATCGATGGCAAACAAAGCAATTCCACGGATCTCACACAGCCTCTTTAGAGATTTTATTAATCTGAATAAGATAGAAGTTATAATTCAATTCAAGTCCCAGGGTTAACGACAATTATTTCATCAAGCCTTCTTTGGAGACAAATACTTGTATCAAGTTAAAATCTTCACATTGTTGACTAGTGTTGCATAGTGAATCATATATTTTACCTTAAAACTGTCTCTGGGCAAACATAAATGATGGAGTAAATGCCGTTCATTGCTTTCTTTTCAACACTGTTGTCTGGCTGTCCAGATCCAAGAAAGCATGCAGACACTCCATGTTTTGCTAGCTTTAAGCATTGATCATGCATCAAGCTTATTAATGGAGAAATCACAACCACAACCTTCCCAGTTAAAAGTGCAGGTAGCTGAAAACATATAGATTTCCCTGCATGTAAATGATGATTTCAGTACACTTCATGAAGTATGTACATGTAATACAAGTTACAATACACAAAAGGCAAAGAGAAGACACATNTTTCATCAAGCCTTCTTTGGAGACAAATACTTGTATCAAGTTAAAATCTTCACATTGTTGACTAGTGTTGCATAGTGAATCATATATTTTACCTTAAAACTGTCTCTGGGCAAACATAAATGATGGAGTAAATGCCGTTCATTGCTTTCTTTTCAACACTGTTGTCTGGCTGTCCAGATCCAAGAAAGCATGCAGACACTCCATGTTTTGCTAGCTTTAAGCATTGATCATGCATCAAGCTTATTAATGGAGAAATCACAACCACAACCTTCCCAGTTAAAAGTGCAGGTAGCTGAAAACATATAGATTTCCCTGCATGTAAATGATGATTTCAGTACACTTCATGAAGTATGTACATGTAATACAAGTTACAATACACAAAAGGCAAAGAGAAGACACATCATAAATACCAGACCCTGTTGCTGCCAGAACTAGACAATCCTGATGGGCTAACCAAGCACCCAGCGCTTCCTTTTGAAAACTCTTTAGTCCTGAATATCCAAAATGCTTTTGCAACAGTTTGTTGGCTTTCTGGTCCCAATCTGGTCCAATTTCCATATCATGATCTTCTCTCTGCAGTGGGTACGAGCCACATGATGTTTGATAGAATTCCGGAGTAAAGCTTGCATCAAGAGATTGATCTACACGAATATTTTTGGCTTCTTCCTGTCCTACAAATGGTTTATTTAACAAATCTTTCTTGGAATTTGATACCACAGAACTCCTGCTCTTCTTTGGCTTGCCTAGAGGTTGAAGATGCTCCATTATGCTAGACTGTCTAATCTGACCAAATGGGCATGACAATGAAGATGATCTTTTACCCAAATTTTTTGACTTATTTCCTGGGGCGGAATTATTGGGAGTGATTGATACACCCTCTCCATTGTTCTTAGATGAATGATTCAGTATGTAATCAACTGCTTCATTTAAAGTTGGACCCACGGCCTCTACCGCTTCCATAGCTTGAAAACTTTCGAAACCCATGTCAATAAGCTTGGTAACAATTTGGTCTGTAGACCCATGATTTCCAGCCATAGCATTAAGCTGCTCACAAGAAAATGAAAAACACTTCTTATGGCAACATTTTCACTCTTTCAATTTCTCCCCCTTTATACAAGCCATGCCATTAATCAAATAGAGACTTCATCCAAATCATAATCCACTTTATCAATGGCGGTGGAGGAAAAAAACAAATGCACGGATAAGATGCAGACAAATTCAAGAGATAGACCGGGTCCGTATAATCAAAACACAAAATACATAAACCCTAATCGTGCTCAAGAAAATAAACTACAATGTATTTGAGTTTTATACTAAAAATCAAACGCTGATACTCAAAAAGGTATGAATAAAATTTGAATTCCACTCACTCAGATTGAGGGACGCACCGCGCAAATGAATTGATGTTCGACTGGAATGCTTTTTCAGCTTTTTGCCCAGAATGTAAAATGTAAATGGGATATGTTTCATTTTCCGCTCCTAGCTCATTTTTTTTGGGTTGAGACCGGGGCAAAATGGGCACTATAAAATTGAGATCCATATGCATTTAGAACTCCCGAAGTCAAAAATTTGAGTTTGCATATCTTTCCATACAAGATTTCATTTTTAGTATTAGGTGAAATATAAAAAGAATTTAAATTTGATATCTTCAAATATAACCAATCTTTTATATAAAAAATTTTGGCATCTCTCAAATTTGGGAAATTAATAAGGAGATTTGATATTTTTTTCAATCGTGGATCATCCTTTATCAGCGTCTACTACTGCCACCACTGATCACCTTGTTGTCGGCCATCATCGCTTATCACTCATATCATAATATATCTCTAAAATTTAACAAACAAGTTACGGAGTATTACTTTGTAATTGTATACTCCAATACTTTTTCCATCTCTAAAAGATACGGAGTACTACGTAATATTTTTTTGTAATTTGTAATCAAAATGTGTAAAACTTAATTTTAGAAAAAAAATATTGAGGTGGAAATATGGTATGAAATGTTTTTTTGGTGAACTTACGATTCATGCCATTTTTTGTAGACCTTTCACACTAAAAACAATTTTTTTTCATTTTTCCTTTTTTGCAAAAAAAAAAAAACTTATCAAGACTGAAAGCATTTGTTTACCGCTATCATATAGAGGTCCACCTAAAACAGTGTGGACCTTAGGTATATCTAGACCCGATCACGGACCTGACTCTCAAGTGTCATCCGGCCCGTAAAAGTCTGCCCAAGAAGCCCGTTGGTTTTCCTATAGTCCGGGCTAGGGCCTAAAAGAGTAAGCTCGTAATGTGAGCCAAACTGGGCTCGGGTCTAAAAAAGCTTCATAATAGAGTGTCCTGATTCGGCCTAAAACTCGGTCCGGCCCATTGTTAGATTAGGTCTGGGCCCACCATAACATTTGGTATTATGTGGTATGATTTGCCAGTGAGCTCAGGTTAATAGGAAAAAAGAATACTACAGACCCTACAATATTGTAAAGGTACTTTCTCATTCTGCATATTGCATCATTGGTCACTGTTTGATTAATTTTGCACCTACTCAGCATTAGGTTATACTCCCTCTCTCCTATATCTTTCTTCTCGTTGCGCAAAACGAAGAAAAATCCCAAGTTTTTTCAATCTATTTTATTTAAATATTGGTATAGAAATAAAAATAAAATATACATATTTAAAAACTACATCAAAAATTCAACAAAACAAGTGGTGACAAGAATATTTTATTTTATCATATAGGCCATGAAAAAACACAAATAAATATAAATTCCCGTGAAGTTGGAATAGTGCTCAGGGAAGAAGGTTTTAGGACGGAGGGAGTAAATAACTACTCCGTCCACCTAAGATATTTCCATTACGCGTTACGAGACTTGACCGACTTTATTTTCAACTCAATTTAATTGATTATATGAGTAAAATTTTAAAATAAAATTTATATAAAAATAAACTACATGAAAAGTTTTACAAAACTAGAGATGACAAGAATATATTATTTTACGAAATGACTAGTAAAAATGAGCAAACAAAGTGACAAAAGTTTGACCATTTGAATAGTGTCTGGGAAGATCTATGATGGACAGAGAGAGTATTACATAATTATTACGGAGTATTTATTTTAGCAATGTATTTGTAAACATTTATTTCATATTAATTTTTTATCAATTCATATGAGAAAATTTGTGCATTGTTATATACGGAGTCTATAAAGTTCTATCGATTAAAGGGTAATTTTATTGCAAGTTATTTAAGTTGTTTTTCGAACACGTGTCAATGATGTGACAAAAAAATTATATATTTTAAAATTATATCAAAAGTTATGCAAATAAGAGGTGACATGATTATATTATTTTATCAAATAACTAACGAAAATAAGTAAAGAAAGTTATTAAAGTTTGACAATATGAATAGTGCGTTTGAATTGTAAATAACTGTAACATTTTAGGAAGATTATTTAACAATGGCGTTTAGCTATAATATTTTTTAAAATTAATTTATACCATTAACATTTTAGCAAAATTACAAACATTAATTAATCGAAAACGAAACTCCCAAGATATAAAGATACTCTGAAAAGCAGTTTTCATATTTATGAGTGGCTGTGCTTGATAGCATGCTTAATTAATGAACATGTTTAACTTGTGACATACTCCGCACATTAACAACCTTTAATTTTGGTAAATAAAATGTGACTCAGAAATTACATTTTTCGGTCCTTGATGACGATCACTGCATAGCTGGCGCCAGCTGCGCCGCGGGTGGTGGTGGACTGGAGGTTCTTCGCCGCACACGGCGGTCGTACGTCTTGGTAATCAGGCAAAGGGACTCGGCCAGACTCGATGTGGCCGACATCCTCCACCAGCATCTCATAGTGCCTCTTCACTTCCTCCTCCGTCTTGCCGCCGCCCACCGCCCTGGCCAAGTTGCGCCACCTCTCCGGCGTGTCCTTGTCGAAAATAGCCAATGCATTCTCAAAAACCTTGTTTTGCTTCTCCGTCCACGACCCCATATCTTATACTCGTAATATACTCATCATAATATGATACGGAGTATCAGCTAGCTAGCTGGCTATATATATATATATATATATATATATATATATATATATATATATATATATATATATATATATATGTATGTATGTATGCACCAAGAAAATAGAAATGTTGTGTGCCTCTTCAATTTCTCTCCTCGTGTAGCTAGAAAAAAGATGCTTGTACATATTTTTTAGCATGGACATTTTTTTAAAGAAAAAATAAATAAATTATTTTCAAAAGAATGAAAAAATTAATAAATTATTGTGGAACAATGAGAGTATTTTTTTTAATTATAAAAAAATATAAGCATGCATTCATAAACTTTTAAAAACTTAACTTGTAATTTCCTCAACAACAAAAAAATTGTAGTTCACAGTCTTCACACGCTTTTTTTTTTTTGTTTTTAAAGCGAGGCACTTAATTGGGTTGAACTAATGGGTCGCAATGTTCGGATCATTTAGTGTAGAGTGGCATGCAGTAAGTATGGAGTCGGTTAGTATGTCTTTCAGATTTAATTATTTAAAAATGAAATAACAATGGAGGAATTTACGTAAATAGCAATAAAACATAATGATTTTCCTTAAATAGCATCACATGTGTTTTTTCTCAATATAATACTTTTACTCATTATTCAAGTAAGTGTTTGTCATCACTGAACATTATTAAATGCTATTTAGAGATTAAAACAATTTAAGTGCTATTTAATGAAATGATTTAAGTTTTAGTGCTATTTACTGCAAATATACAATTATTACACAGTTTTTAAAAGATGGTAATTTTTTAAAGTTGTACGTGTTGGTTTATTCTACGGAGTATTAAAAGTGAGGTACTGTCGAGTACTCGCATAAACCTTATATACTTTGCATGATTGTCCCTCATCAAAAGAGTTATCAAGATTCAAACCCTGATCTCTCTTATAATGACCTTATACCAGCTGAACTAGACTTCACCCGCTAACTTGTTTTTAGAAGAAAAATTTGCACTTAATAGGAATACACATAAATCATTTCCCAACGTAGGACTTAAACTTTTTTATTCCCTAAATAAGAGTTAATAATGTCTAGTGGGAGAAATAATGTCCAAGTGATGATAGATATTTACTTGAATAATGACCAATGAATAATGACCAATAATCCTACATTAAAAATAAAAACATAAAGTCATATATTGAGTAAGTAATTATGTTTTATTAGTTCGGTAAATTTCCCTTTTTAGAACGGAAATCTTCTTTGTCATAAATTTGACGGGGTATATTTACCCCTCCAAAATTGAAGAGGGTATATTTACGCCTCCAAAATTGAAGAGGGTATTATGCTATCATATACATCTCTCATTGGAGATTGATTTTTTTTTTAAAAAAAAAGGATGAAAATGGTAGGTAGCTAGAGCCTTTTACCACCTCCTGGCTAGTGAGGCGAGAGGGCCCCAACCAATTGCATGTATATAGTGCGTTACAGCATAACTTTAGCCCCTGTTTTTGTTCCTTAAATTGGGTTTATTTACAACCTCGTTGTTAAGTTGTTGTATCCCCTTTTTCCACACAAAGCGAAAGCGGTGGAGGATATGAGAAATTTGTGGTTTCTGCCAGCTTTTATTTATACATATGCACATACCATCATGCATCTATGACGTGATGATTTGTTTTTTTTTTTTCCTTTGGTATATATGTGGGTCATTAAAATATGTAGGAATGTGTGCGTAGGAGTAAAAGATTGAATTTTAATAGAATTTACTATTTAGACTTGAGTAAAGATCACTGAATTGGGCATAAAGCACTTAAATTGAACCACATTAAAGAATCAAATTCGGTTTATTAATTAGTTCAACTCAAAAGCTTATATACCGATTATTTTATTTTTTAACTTTGAATGTGGGATGCACACTAACAAGTTTTGAACAAATATTCTTGGATGTTAATAGAACTGGAAGATGATAGAACTCGAAATAAGTCACTAAAATGAATCAAACTTGACCAACCCCTGCTCAACCCAAAATGACCCTATAAATTGATCGCTCATGATCTGCCTTTTGCCGCCACGAGACTTCCCTTGGCTACATTTCAGGTCAGTATTCCTCGCCGCTCTCCTGATTGAATAATAGAGAATACTTTGTACTGGCATGTTTTGATCACTTCTTATTTTGTAGACTTTTATATGTTGTTTTGATATATATGAATCTTGTTTGTCTTTAATTCATTTTCTTTGTGCTCTTTTAGTCCCATAACAAGTTTTCACTTTGGTAGTCAATTTTTTTGAACTTTGACCACAAACTACTAAATAAATACCTTGAAATTCTGGTGTTAGACACCAATATACTACGTATTAATTTTGGATCATACTCTCTTTGTTCCTTTTGAATCTTTCGAATTTGATTTTCAAGGTTAACTTTTTTTGAACTTTGACCACAAACTACTAAATAAATACCTTGAAATTCTGGTGTTAGACACCAATATACTACAAATTACGAAAAAATAGAATAATGCTAGAGTCACAAACAACAGCTCACAAAATTCACAAAATTGCCTTTTTAACATTTCCTTAGATGTAGTCAAATAATAAAAGATATTTTAATTTAAAATTCACAAAAAACAAGTTTGTAAACTATTTAACTTGTTTGTGGCTCTAGCACTTTCTAAAAAATACATTGACTTATGATATAAGTTTAATATCGATAAGTTCATTTTCAAACATAGTTTTGAAATATTACTCTTTTATAATATAAATCTATGTATAAATAAAAATATTGATGGTTAAAATGTTGCATTGAAAATCGTGAAAAAACTAATAAAAAATAAATTCAAAAGGAATAAAACGAATAGTTCTCAGATATTATATTTTTTGTAATATACCGATAATACATAAATAGAGATATTAAAAGTTAAAGTTTTCATTGAATGCCGTGAAATATGAAAGGAAATGTTAATTTTATGCTTGTGAAGGGATTATTATAAATTTATTATGTCCGATGGATATTGGACACAAGGAAATCAAAGCGCCAGTGCACCGCTTTGTTTGTTTTAAACTATGAATGATTTATGAATATATTTTTAGTACCAAATGGGGAAGCCAAGCGGGGATGTAGCTCAGATGGTAGAGCGCTCGCTTTGCATGCGAGAGGCACGGGGTTCGATCCCCCGCATCTCCATAATTTATTTTTTTTTAACCGATTTTTTTGTTGGGATTTGCGACGCCCATATTTTCCTTTGCACAAAAAAAGTTTAATTAAAGGTTAACTTCATGACTACTAGTCACACCCTTCAATCCATTTCTTCTCAATTTTTTTATATGTCGTCTCTTTATTTGTAGAAAAAAATTATTAGTCAATCAATTTTTTCTATCTCTAAATAATAATTTAATGCTCTCCACCTTTTCTCTTTCATCTATTCCCCTCTCATTTCTAATCATTCTTCTCTTTTTTTTCCAATTGCATCATCTTATTTCTCTCTTCATTCCTATCCACTAGTAATCACTTTCACGCCATATAAGTACAACATTTTCTATCATTTAGAAAAAAAGGCACTGTTTTCAAAATTAGATTATGTTCCATTCACTTAATTTTTCCCTTTTCTACTTATTTTATTAAAATTAGATTTGAAACAGTTTTAAATATAATTACAATTAAATCAGGCTAAATTTTCAAAAAATAAAATAAAATCAAGCGAACAAAACGTTGCTTATTCATAAAATTCTCCTAATTTCAAAGCGTTATGCATACATCCTATGATCATTTCGAAGCTAATATCATGGGTTACCCGTCGTTTACAAAAAAAGGATCAAAATCCTCGTTCTTTACAAATTAATTACGAAAAGAGTAAATTTCTGAAACAGTCTCTTCAAATAAAATATTTTTTCAAATTGGTCCTCAATAAACACTAATTACCTATGTGATCCTTTATAATTTAGATTAATTCCTTAAATGTTACTCTATCAAAAAAATCTATTAAAAGTTGTTCAAATAGAAATTATGAAAAACACATTTAACTGTCATTTAAAATATATTTTTGATTGACGACTATTTAGGGAATACATGTTAATATGCTTTCCTCACCAAAATGGTCCTCTCTAATAATGTATTTTTCCGATTAGTGAGCAATAAGTTTTAATTACCTACGTGATCCTTTATAATTGAGATTTATTCTCTAGATTGTCCTTTGTAAATAATGTATCTAACTTGATGATTAATTGAGAAGTATTTTGGTATTTTTTATCAATTAAATTTAGAATAAATTCATAAAATAATCATTTTTAATGAAGTATTTTCCCAATATAATTTTTTCTAATTAAAGATGTGTATTTGATTTGAATTCTAAAAGATTTTTTTATAGATTTTTAATAATTAATAGATTATGTATAGTAAATTTATTTTTTAATTTTATATTTAATTGTATGAAAATTACCATTTGAAAAACATACTTTAAATTTGGATGATAAAAATATCAAAATACCTTTTAATTAATCATTACTTGAGTAACATTATTTACGAAAGATTATTTGGGAAATATATCTTAGTTATAAATGACCACGTAGGTAATATCAAGTGTACATAAAGCCGAACTGCCGAATATTTTATTTTACAAAATACTAGGGGTACACCAAATGGGGTACCTCCATCTCCACCATACAAAGGCAAGAGAGGAAAAAAAATTAAAAATGAAAAAAGAAATGGAAAATTATGATGAGTGGTGTACAAATGGGATACCCCAAATGGTATACCCCTAGCATTCCTCTTTATTTTATTTTAGGAAGACTAATGACCCTACAAAATAGGGAGTATTTTAAGAAGACCCTACAGAAAAGACCGAAACAGTGAGGAAGGTAAAGGGGACACTTCCTCCACCAGTCACTCGTTATGATTTCGATCTCTGATCAATTCAATGGCGCTAAGCTGAAATTTGGAGTATCATAATCAGATTCTCATTACAGTCGCTGGCTGATCGAATCGGGGAAGAAGGCGGAGATGTCGGCGGAAGAGAGTTGCTGCACGGCGAAATTCTCCGTGTATGT